TCACTTGTCAATAGAGCTATACTTTTATCTGAACCACAATTTCACAGAAAAAATTTAAAATTCACATTATTAACATTTTATTGAAGAATAACTATCCAATACTAATAGTACTAATTTTTAATACCATCAATAAAAAATTGAGAACAGTATTCTTAAATAATTTACCAACACGTTGTTAGTTCTATACAAGAAAATAAAGATGAAGAAAAAAAATTCTTTTTTGTCCTTCCGAACATACATAATTATAACACCATGTTTAATCATATAAATATCAATAACAAAAATATCAAACCTACATATTGTAATTTAAACCAGTTGTCGAAATTTATTAGAACACATAAAGATCCTGTCCCTTTCAACAAGCACAAAAATGTCGTTTACCGTATTTCTTGTCAACAATGTACATTTTCCTATGATATACAAATTAATAAACAAGTAACAATTAGAATAAAAGAACACATTAATTATGTAAAGAAAGAACAGATCGACACTTCAGTAGTAGCCAAGCATAATATCGAGACAAGGCATAGTTTTGACTGGAATTCTGTTAAAATGTTAGACATAGAGCAGAACAATTATAAACGACAAACCTCTGAAATGTTATACATTAAAAAACAGGAACATGGTTTGAATTTGATGAGGGACACGGAGGTTTTGCATGATACATATATACTTATACTTGATAAACTACAATTTCAACATGCTGAGGGAGTGTTGCTTGTTGAATTCAAACTCTTTTGCTCTTTAACTTCCCTGATAGAAAACCATTTACAAAATTATGTGACAAAATCTTGCACTAAAATTGTAATTTGCAATTATAAAGATATATTTTAAGAAATAGATGTAAAAACATTGATCTTTTCTACAATATTTGTAGTCGTTTGCAAAATTACTTTCCAAAATACTATTTTGGCAAAAGAATAACGATATGGCGAATCATCTTAGCAATATATTTGCAAAATTAATTTCACAAAGATTTACATAGAAATTGTCCAATAATTGAGAAAAGAAATTCAGCTATGTGATGTTTCAAATATGTAGAAATATGATTGCATATGAAGAAATGCAAGAAATCGTCGTCACTCATGATGTCATATTTGTGCAATAATTTCACAATTTGCCTATTAAGGTTAGTATCGTTCTTACATTTGTGCAAGCATGACTTGTACTTGATACTCAATTGTATATTTTTATTGTATGACGTATATATTAGTTTTTAATTAAATCAATTGTAAATGTTAATTTCTTTGAGGTATGTAAAATTATTTATGGGTGTAATGACAGCTCTGCATTTCAAGTTTTACTGATAGTTGTACAGTATTATTGGGACAGATTCAATTGATAAGGACTTAAAATATAGTCGAAACATTTTGAAACACGTCCAAGTACATTTATTTATTGAACGACATATTGCTCTGGCTCTACATAGCAGTTGAGTTCATATCTTGATTTTGATTTTGAGAGAAAGCCTGAGGTGTACGCCTTATTACTTTACTTTATTTAAAAAGTTATTAAGAAAAAGTTTTAGTAATGAAGCATCGTAGCTCAAGGGAATGCAAGTAGAGGAACAGCCCTTCTTTTGAAAGAGGCGCAACCCCACCTCCTGCCAACACGCTTTCAACTCGAAGAAAATGTACATAGAATCGAGAAATAAGAGTTTAATTATAAAACTTTTTTTGTTTTGATCAAAGGGTCCGTAATTGTCAATATGTTCTTATATTACTTTGTCGCTATTCTCTACTATACTTAGAAATTCGTGTAGTCGCATGTTGAAAGCATTAACAACCTGCGAGAAAACGAAACGGAATCTTGACCTTGTAGCTTTGTTTACATTCCTCAACACATCAGTCCGACATACACAAACTTAACTGTTTGTAATAACAACTTGTAATATATAGAATAAAGCATTAAAATTCTGAAACTTCAACTTGCCATATCTCCTAAATCAAGGCCGTCACCACAAAATTTTTTTACTGAGTTACTCAGTATGACTTGCCCTACAACACGTCTAAAGCGCAACAAAATCGGAGCTGTGTGACCAAAAATGCATAATTACCATCCTTAAAACTTATTCTAAGCAAATTTTCGACAGTTTCATCAAGAATCGCCGTACGATTTCATTACGTTTTACGGTTTTGACAAATCTTTTACAGATATGGAGCCACTATGTGATTGAAGCATTCGCTAATTCTTAATTTGTGGATAGTCATGGCAACAAAAGTTCCTACTGCGTCAGTTACCGTTAGCAGATATAAAATCTACTGATTCATTAAAGGAAGTTTGGTTTCCTTTCCACCACTTTTCTCTCTTACACTTATTACAGTGATAGTNNATNTATNGCGGTAACACTGCNNAATTNGCGACTTAACTTGAATCGTTCTGTTACCAGTTTTGTGTTTAATTATTAAAACATTAAACCATATAATATTAAGAGAATTATTTTCTTGTGTTATTTTCGTGATATTTTCTGTTTCTACTCGAACGAATATACANAACATATTTATTNTACAAGTCATGTGAAATATATCATCCACGTCGCATTTTTTCTGTGAACTTATTAACCAAGCAATTTTGTTACTATAATTACGAGTAAAAGTACAAGTTGCACGTAGAAAATCATGATTTAGTCGAATATTATTACTAACATATATGCTGTGCTTGTGTTTTGTGTTATTTTACAGTGAAAAGTATATGTGTAAATATAAAATACTTGATTAATTTTACTAATTATTTTAATTCGATTATTATTTTCTGACGATATTCTTTACTGCTTATGAAAATTNAACTGTGAACATATTTAATGACACTGCAAATGATGTTAAGGTTTTTACTTTTCGCTGTCCAAATATTTCACAGTTGTGGAAAAGTAATTGTGTTACGTGGAGAATCACTTCATATTAATTCATCTACATGTAGAAATGAGAGAAAATATATATGTCTCTCAGAAGACGACGGCGGCGCACTTGTATGGAATGATGACTTAAGTCATAGTCAATATCAGCAAAAAAATCGTGCTGACTTGCGTAAGTTATTAACGTACTTACAACATTGCTTTTTAAAATAAACTTTTTAAAATAAACTTTTTCAACAAATTATTTTCCTTTGGTTTATATAACTAAACGTTTAAAACTTGTTTGTAAATAAGTTCTACTTTATCTTAAAGTTAAGAACTATTTTGATTGAAAGTTGAAACTAAATATTTTATGTAGTCATATTATACTTCTCGAGAATATACGCTTATAGACACGCATATGATTGTAGAGTTTCACAGTACACATCTATACAATACCTGGATAAATTGCAATTTTAACGCAAACCCAGANTGTTTAGAATCACAATCTCGAATAAGCGGAAAACTAACATTAGAACAGTTGTACGATGTATGGATAAATTGCACAATGAACGCAACAATAAGCTGTTTAGATTCATGGATGCGAAAAAACTGGAGTCTTACAGATGCTNTGAGAACACCTATGGGTCCCGTACTTGATCAAAGATGGGAAGGTAGAAGATTTACAGTGTGTAAAAACTTATTCATTAATTTAAAGTATTTACTATATACACTGTGTCATTATAAGTTTGCAAACTGTAGATTTAATATTATTATTTTAAATATTATATATTTAAAATTTTTAGAATTTCGAGATTCACACCTTCAAAAAATATATCTTGCCATGTATACATCAAAATCAATTCCAAAAGCAGGAGCGATATCTGTTTCACTTCGTTCATGGAAGCATGTGAACATTTCTGTCTGTGTTTATAGTTATAAAACTAATTTTTTTAATCAAAATCTTTGCTTTAATATAAACTTAAGATCTGATAGTATGGCGTCCAATATTAAATATACAAACAATATTAAAGATTCAAACAAAAATCGAGATCAACAGCGCTCTTTTAACAACATCATTTCCAAACAAGTAAGATATATGTATACTACATTTTTTGTAGTTTTGTGATTTTCAAGTTTTTTCTTTCTTATGTATAATCAAGAACTGNTAAAATTACAATTTAACAAAGAATACTTGTACTTGAAATATAATTGAGTATGTGTAAATATTTACGACATTGAGAAAGAAAAATATATCACAAAAAAATGAAACAAAAAGTCAGAAAAATCGCCATAAACAACCCAACTACTCAAACATTATATTTAACACAAAAGCATTCATACTTATTCTAGTTACTATCACTATCTGGGACTGAATGGCGAACGTTCGTCATTTCATGGAATTTTTGGAATAGAAATGTTTCCGTTTATGATACTAACGATAATAACAACTTGCTTACGTTTGAAGATACAGAAAAGTTCTCAAACAACTCAATTCTGAACGATTATTACTCGAGAATTGCTGTCTACATGGATAATTCCTCAAACTCGATGTGTCGATTTCATAAATGTAAGTATATTTATTCCAAATAATAAGTTTACTTAGTTAAATACTTTTTACTGTATTTTAAACGAACCAAACCCGTTGAACAAATTGTAGTCCTACAAGTCTCGAATAGTTTCTTCAGAAGTAGAATCGTCTGCTAAACACTAAATAAAAAGAATTTTAAATTTCTGTCTTACTATTAAACTACATAGAAAATAAGTAGTTTTTAGTACTTAAATAACATAATTAAAACCTTCAAAAAATACACAGTAGGTTTTTCTTTGTTTCTGTACATAGTATTTATACATTTCTCTTTGCACGCAGTTTACAAACTAAGTTCTCACAAACTCATATATTAAAAAATGTAAAATAGTTTAACTGAGATTAGTATAGTTTAATTGACTGTAATAAAAAATAAATACATTTACATTTACATATTGCGTTTCAGACACTTTCCTGTACACAGTTGGCAAGAATGCTGTTTTAACAACTCGTTATTATAAACCTAATACTCAGAAGATATGCATACAAATATTACTAGGCTTATGTGCAGAATGTGATGCAAACATCGTGATGATTGATTTCACAACCCATAAAGTGTTACAATCTGTAACAGCTAAAGGCTCAATAAATGCTGCAATTCATGGCTTACCTATGTGGCAANTCGTTAAACTTGATGGAAATTTTTCTACAGACACTTATAATAATGGGATAAAAATCCGTATAATTCCCAAACTTACAAAGCCCACTCACAATCCGTTATGGGCAATAGCTTATATTCGTCAATGTTCCCATAAANGTATAAACATGCATAACTTTCTCATTTTGTATACTTACATGTATCAAGAGTAACATACGTGTGCTACGAATAAGTAAAATACTAACATTTTCCAGAAAATTGTCTCTAATACTATTTACATTTATCTTATTTATGGTTTTTGTTTATTCTTAGAGATTTTGAGAAAAGGAATCATTTCGCAAATACCTACCAATGCTCTTCCGTTGTCGAATATAACTTGTCAAAAATTATACTTCAACGAAAATACCATCGTAAGTTCCTTGGCAAAAACTACAACTAGCATAGCTTTAGGTAATTATTGACTTGGTAATTATTATATATATATACAATTCTATATTTATAAAAGCTTTCCAAAACGTTCATTCATATATGAGTGTTTTCTCAATTAGCAATTAACAATAATATTGTATTTTTAATCGATATCATTTTATAATGTATTGTATAAATAACATAATTGTGTTACTATACACATAATTCACAGATGACAAAATTTGTCCTGAGGGAAAAATTGGACCAGACTGTTCTTTTTCCTGCAANCATGATTTGAACAGTCCTTCTAACTGTAGAGGAACTGCAATCTGTTACAAATCTGGTTGCGTATGTTCTCCAGGATTTCAAGGCGATACGTGCTCTGAGTGTAAGTAGATTGAAATGAGTTTTCTTCTAATTTTTTTATTATG